TCCCAAATCTAGAAGAACACCAACTTCAGCACAGCAACTCGAGGAATGCTCCGTGTACCCCAAATCGTCTCGAGATGAGAGCTGATTCCCTGGCTTAGGCTCAACACTTATGCCAACTTTCCAGAACCACCGAAAGAGGAGGCTTCCTCAGCAATAGTTATGAGGGAGGGACCCCGAGTTTGCTGCCTCAAGTGGAATATACAGCGAGAAGCCCTAACTTGAAAGGAGGCCGGATTTCCTTGCAGTGGCTTGAATACAGGCTCGTCTTTCATCTCACAACATGAAGGGATGTCTGAATCCCCTTTCGAGACCTTAGATAAAGTTCTAGGTCCCTGCCTCATTTTGACGGAATGCCTCACATCCATTTGGCACCTCGAGAGGCAGGCGGAGTTCACTGCTTCAAAAGGTCACGATGCCTGTCTCCTCTTGAAAAATTTTAGGAATCCCAAAGCCCTGTGGCTCCTGGAAAGGGCCCTTGGGTGCCCTGCCTCACCTCGAGAAGCATCCCTTTTTGCCCTGCCAAACCTCAAAGAGATTCCTGAGGTGTCCCTCGTTAGTAGACAGGAGTTCTGATGTCACTGATTAAAGATGTGTTTTGAAGGGCCATCCCCCCGTAACTCGAGAACATACCCCAGGTCGCCGCTGAAAATCGAGAAAAACCTTGTGACTTCCCCCTAGAGGCGAGATGAGCCCCGATTCCCCTGCATTGCATGCAGAGCCATTCCGAGAACTCCATCAAACATGTAAGGAGCTTCGACTTGGTTAATGGATCTCAAGACAGTCCCCAAGAACACTGTCACCAGTCTAGACCGACACTGAGGTCACGCCAGCAACGCAAAGCAGGTCCATGTGCCCCAAATCAACTCGAGATGAGGCCAGATTCCCCTGCATTGACTCCAGAGCCATCCCCCGTTCCCCATTAAACCCGACCAGTGGCTCGACTTCCTTCACACAATTCCAGAGATTCCCCAAGGACACTGTCCCAAATCTAGAAGAACACCAACTTCAGCACAGCAACTCGAGGAATGCTCCGTGTACCCCAAATCGTCTCGAGATGAGAGCTGTTTCCCTGGCTTAGGCTCAACACTTATGCCAACTTTCCAGAACCACCGAAAGAGGAGGCTTCCTCAGCAATAGTTATGAGGGAGGGACCCCGAGTTTGCTGCCTCAAGTGGAATATACAGCGAGAAGCCCTAACTTGAAAGGAGGCCGGATTTCCTTGCAGTGGCTTGAATACAGGCTCGTCTTTCATCTCACAACATGAAGGGATGTCTGAATCCCCTTTCGAGACCTTAGAGAAAGTTCTAGGTCCCTGCCTCATTTTGACGGAATGCCTCACATCCATTTGGCACCTCGAGAGGCAGGCGGAGTTCACTGCTTCAAAAGGTCACGATGCCTGTCTCCTCTTAAACAATTTTAGGAATCCCAAATCCCTGTGGCTCCTGGAAAGGGCCCTTGGGTGCCCTGCCTCACCTCGAGAAGCATCCCTTTTTGCCCTGCCAAGCCTCAAAGAGATTCCTGAGGTGTACCTCGTTAGTAGACAGGAGTTCTGATGTCACTGATTAAAGATGTGTTTTGAAGGGCCATCCCCGCCGTAACTCGAGAACATACCCCAGGTCGCCGCTGAAAATCGAGAAAAACCTTGTGACTTCCCCCTAGAGGCGAGATGAGTCCCGATTCCCCTGCATTGCATGCAGAGCCATTCCGAGAACTCCATCAAACATGTAAGGAGCTTCGACTTGCTTAATGGATCTCAAGACAGTCCCCAAGAACACTGTCACCAGTCTAGACCGACACTGAGGTTATGCCAGCAACACAAAGCAGGTCCATGTGCCCCAAATCAACTCGAGATGAGGCCAGATTCCCCTGCATTGACTCCAGAGCCATCCCCAGTTCCCCATTAAACACGACTAGTGGCTCGACTTCCTTCACACAATTCCAGAGATTCCCCAAGGACACTGTCCCAAATCTAGAAGAACACCAACTTCAGCACAGCAACTCGAGGAATGCTCCGTGTACCCCAAATCGTCTCGAGATGAGAGCTGATTCCCTGGCTTAGGCTCAACACTTATGCCAACTTTCCAGAACCACCGAAAGAGGAGGCTTCCTCAGCAATAGTTATGAGGGAGGGACCCCGAGTTTGCTGCCTCAAGTGGAATATACAGCGAGAAGCCCTAACTTGAAAGGAGGCCGGATTTCCTTGCAGTGGCTTGAATACAGGCTCGTCTTTCATCTCACAACATGAAGGGATGTCTGAATCCCCTTTCGAGACCTTAGAGAAAGTTCTAGGTCCCTGCCTCATTTTGACGGAATGCCTCACATCCATTTGGCACCTCGAGAGGCAGGCGGAGTTCACTGCTTCAAAAGGTCACGATGCCTGTCTCCTCTTAAACAATTTTAGGAATCCCAAATCCCTGTGGCTCCTGGAAAGGGCCCTTGGGTGCCCTGCCTCACCTCGAGAAGCATCCCTTTTTGCCCTGCCAAGCCTCAAAGAGATTCCTGAGGTGTACCTCGTTAGTAGACAGGAGTTCTGATGTCACTGATTAAAGATGTGTTTTGAAGGGCCATCCCCGCCGTAACTCGAGAACATACCCCAGGTCGCCGCTGAAAATCGAGAAAAACCTTGTGACTTCCCCCTAGAGGCGAGATGAGTCCCGATTCCCCTGCATTGCATGCAGAGCCATTCCGAGAACTCCATCAAACATGTAAGGAGCTTCGACTTGCTTAATGGATCTCAAGACAGTCCCCAAGAACACTGTCACCAGTCTAGACCGACACTGAGGTTATGCCAGCAACACAAAGCAGGTCCATGTGCCCCAAATCAACTCGAGATGAGGCCAGATTCCCCTGCATTGACTCCAGAGCCATCCCCAGTTCCCCATTAAACACGACTAGTGGCTCGACTTCCTTCACACAATTCCAGAGATTCCCCAAGGACACTGTCCCAAATCTAGAAGAACACCAACTTCAGCACAGCAACTCGAGGAATGCTCCGTGTACCCCAAATCGTCTCGAGATGAGAGCTGATTCCCTGGCTTAGGCTCAACACTTATGCCAACTTTCCAGAACCACCGAAAGAGGAGGCTTCCTCAGCAATAGTTATGAGGGAGGGACCCCGAGTTTGCTGCCTCAAGTGGAATATACAGCGAGAAGCCCTAACTTGAAAGGAGGCTGGATTTCCTTGCAGTGGCTTGAATACAGGCTCGCCTTTCATCTCACAACATGAAGGGATGTCTGAACCCCAGTCGAAACCTTAGAGAAAGCTCTAGGTCCCTGCCTCATTTTGACGGAATGCCTAACATTCATTTGACACCTCGAGAGGCACGCGGAGTTCAGTGCTTCAAAAGGTGATGATGCCTGACTCTTCTTGAACATTGATAGGAATCCCAAAATCCCTGTGGCTCCTGAAAAGGGTCCTTGGGTGCCCTGCCTCACATCGAGAAGCGTCCCTTTTACCCTGCCAAGCCTCATAGAGTTTCCTGAGTTTTCCCTCGTTACTAGACCGGAGTCCTGACCTCACTGAATTACCCCTTGTGTTGAAGGGCCATCCCTGCCCTAACTCGAGAACATACCCCAGGTCCCCACCGCAACTCGAGAAAAACAATGAGACTTCCCCCTAGATGCGAGATGAGGCCGGATTCCCCTGCAATGCATACAGAGCAATTCCATGATCCCCATCAAACAAGTCAGAAGCTTCGACTTGCTTAATGAATACCGAGACAGTCCCCAAGAATACTGTCACAAGTCTAGACGGACCCTGAGGTCACCCCAGCAATGCAAAGCAGCTCCACGTGCCCCAAATCAACTCGAGATCAGGATCTATTCCACTGCATTGACTCCAGAGAAATTCCCCGTTCCCCATTAAACATGACCATTGGCTCGACTTCCTTCAGGCAACTCCAGAGATTCCCCGAGAACACTGTCCCAAGTCTAGAAGAACACCAACTTCAGGACAGCAACTCGAGGAATGCTCCGTGTACCCCAAATCGCCTCTAGATGTGAGCTGATTTCCTCGCTTAGACTCCACACTTTTGCCAACTTTCCAGAAACCCCGTAAGAGGAGGCTTCTTCAGCAATAGGTTTGTGGGAGGGACCCCGAGTTTGCTGCCTCAAGTGGAATATACAGCGAGAAACCGTAACTTGAAAGGAGGCCGGATTTCCTTGCAGTGGCTTGAATACAGGCTCGTCTTTCATCTCACAACATGAAGGGATGTCTGAATCTACTTTCGAGACCTTAGAAAAAGCTCTAGGTCCCTGCCTCATTGTGACGGAATGCCTCACATTCATTTGCCACCTCGAGAGGCAGGCGGAGTTCACTGCTTCAAAATATCAGGATGTCTGACTCCTCTTGAACAATGTTAGGAATCCCAAAATCCCTGTGGCACCAGGAAAGGGTCCTTGGGTGCCCTGCCTCACGTCGGAAGCGTCCCTTTTGCAATGCCGAGCCTTGAAGATATTCCTGAGGTGTCCCTCGTTACTAGACAGGAGTCCTGACGTCTCTGAATAAACACGTGTTTTGAAGGGCCATCCCCTCCGTATCTCGAGAAGATACACCAGGTCCCAGGCGCAAGTCGAGAAAAACCAGGAGACTTCCCCCTAGATGCGAGATGAGGCCCGATTCCCCTGCAGTGCATGCAGAACAATTCCGTGATCATCATCAAACATGTAAGGAGCTGCGACTAGATTAATGGATCTCGAGACAGTGCCCAAGAACACTGTCACAAGTCTAGATGGACCTTGAGGTCACCCCAGTAAAGCATAGCAGATTCATGTGCAGCAAATCAACTCGAGATGAGGCCCGATTCCCCTGCATTGAATCCAGAGCCATCCCCCTGTCCCCATTAATCACCACCAGTGGTTTGACTTCCTTCAGGCAACTCCAGAGATTCCCTGAGAACACTGTCACAAGTCTAGAAGAACACCATCTTCAGCAAAGCACCTCGAGGAATGCTCCGTGTACCCCTAATCGTCTCGAGATGAGAGCTGATTCCCTGGCTTAGGCAGAAGACGTATGCCAACTTGCCAGAAACACCGAAAGAGAAGGCTTCTCTCAGCGATAAGTATGTGGGAGGGACCCCGAGTTTGCTGCCTCAAGTGGAATATACAGCGAGAAGCCCTAACTTGACAGGAGGACGGATTTCCTTGCAGTGGCTTGAATATAGGCTAGTCTTTCATCTCACAATATGAAGGGATGTTTGAATCCCCTGTCGAGAAGTTAGAGAAAGTTCTAGGTCCCTGCCTCATTTTGACGGAATGCCTAACATCCATTTGACACCTCGCGAGGCACGCGGAGTTCACTGATTCAAAAGGTGACGATTCTTGACTCTTCTTGAACATTGATAGGAATCCCAAAATCCCTGTGGCTACTGGAAAGGGTCCTTGGGTGCCATGCCTCACCTCGAGAAGCGTCCCTTTTACCCTGCCAATCCGCAAAAAGATTCCTGAGGTGTCCCTCGTTAGTAGACAGGAGTCCTGATGTCACTGATTAAACACGTGTTTTGAAGGGCCATCCCCGCCGTAACTCGAGATTATAACCCGGGTTGCCGCTGAAAATCGAGAAAAACCATGTGACTTCCCCCTAGAGGCGAGATGAGGCCCGATTCCCCTGCATTGCATGCAGAGCCATTGCGAGATCTCCATCAAAAAGGTAAGGAGCTTCGCCTTGGTTAATGGATCTCAAGACAGTCTCCTAGAACACTGTCACAAGTCTAGACGGACCCTGAGGTCACACCAGCAACGCAAAGCAGCTCCATGTGCCCCAAATCAACTCGAGATGAGGCCAGATTCCCCTGCATTGACTCCAGAGCCATCCCCCGTTCCACATTAAATACGACCAGTGGCACGACTTCCTTCACGCAATTCCAGAGTTTCCCTAAGGACACTGTCCGAAGTCTAGAAGAACACCAACTTCAGCAGAGCAACTCGAGGAATGCTGCATGTAACCCACATCGTATGGAGATGAGAGCTGATTTCCTGGCTTAGGCCCAAGATGTATGCCAACTTTCCAGAAGCACCTCAAGAGGAGGCTTCTCTCAGCAATTGGTATGTGGGAGGGACCCTGAATTTGCTGCCTCAAGTGGAATATACAGCAAGAAGCCCTATCTTGAAAGGAGGCTGGATTTCCTTGCAGTGGCTTGAATACAGGTTCGTCTTTCATCTCACAACATGAAGGGATGTCTGAATCCCCTGTCGAGAACTTAGAGAAAGTTCTAGGTCCCTGCCTCATTTTGACGGAATGCCTAACATCCATTTGACACCTCGCGAGGCACGCGGAGTTCACTGATTCAAAACGTTACAATGCTTGACTCTTCTTGAACATTGATAGGAATCCCAAAATCCCTGTGGCTACTGGAAAGGGTCCTTGGGTGCCATGCCTCACCTCGAGAAGCATCCCTTTTACCCTGCCAAGCCGCAAAAAACTCCTGAGGTGTCCCTCGTTACTAGACCGGAGTCCTGGCCTCACTGAATCACCCCGTGTTTTGAAGGGCCATTCCTGCCGTAACTCGAGAACATACCCCAGGTCCCCACCGCAACTCGAGAAAAACCGTGAGACTTCCCCCTAGATGCGAGATGAGGCCCGATTCACCTGCAGTGCATGCAGAGCCATTCCATGATCCCCATCAAACAAGTCAGGAGCTTCGACTTGCTTAATCGATCTCGAGACAGTCCCCAAGAATACTGTCACAAGTCTAGACGGACCCTGAGGTCACCCCAGCAATGCAAAGCAGCTCCACGTGCCCCAAGTCAACTCGAGATGAGGATCGATTCATCTGCATTGACTCCAGAGCCATTCCCCATTTCCCATTAAACACGACCATTGGCTCGACTTCCTTCAGGCAACTCCAGAGATGCCCCGAGAACACTCTACCAAGTCTCGAGGAACACCAACTTCAGCACAGCAACTCGAGGAATGCTCCGTGCACCCCATATCGTGTGGAGATGAGAGCTGATTGATTGCCTGGCCTAGGCCCAAGGGGTATGCCAACTTTCCACAAGCACCTCAAGAGGAAGCTTCTCTCAACAATAGGTATGTGGGAGGGACCCCGAATTTTCTGCCTTAAATGGAATATACAGAGAGAAGCCCTAACTAGAAAGGAGCCCCGATTTCCTAGCAGTGGCGTGAATGCAGGATAGTCTTTCATCTCACAACATGAAGGGGTATTTGAATCCCCTGTCGAGACCTTAGAGAAAGATCTAGGTCCCTGCCTCATTTTGACGGAATGCCTCATATCCCTTTGACACATCGAGAGGCACTCAGAGATCAGTGCTCCAAAGGGTGACGATGCATGGCTCCTCTTGAACAATGTTAGGAATCCCAATATCTCTGCGGCTAATGGAAAGTGTCCTTGGTGCCCTGGCTCACCTCGAGAAGCGTCCCTTTTGCCCTGCCAAGCCTCAAAGAGATTCCTGAGGTGTCCCTTGTTACTAGACAGGAGTCCTGACGTCACTGAATAAACACGTGTTTTGAAGGGCCATCCCCTCCATAACTCGAGAACATACACCAGGTCCCGGCTGCAAGTCGAGAAAAACAGGAGACTTCCCCCAAGATGCGAGATGAGGCCCGATTCCCCTGCAGTGCATGCAGAACAATTCCGTGATCATCATCAAACATGTAAGGAGCTGCGACTAGATTAATGGATCTCGAGACAGTGCCCAAGAACACTGTCACAAATCTAGACGGACCCTGAGGTCACCCCAGCAAAGCAAAGCAGCTTCATGGGCAGCAAATCAACTCGAGATGAGGCCCGATTCCCCTGCATTGAATCCAGAGCCATCCCGCTTTCCCCTTTAATCACGACCAGTGGTTTGACTTCCTTCAGGCAACTCCAGAGATTCCCTGAGAACACTGTCACAAGTCTAGAAGAACACCAACTTCAGCAAAGCAACTCGAGGAATGCTCCCTGTACCCCTAATCGTCTCGAGATGAGAGCTGATTCCCTGGCTTAGGCCCAAGACGTATGCCAACTTGCCAGAAACACCGAAAGAGGGGGCTCCTCTCAGTGATAAGTATGTGGGAGGGACCCCGAGTTTGCTGCCTCAAGTGGAATATACAGCGAGAAGCCCTAACTTGATAGGAGGACGGATTTCCTTGCAGTGGCTTGAATATTGGCTAGTCTTTCATCTCACAACATGAAGGGATGTCTGAATCCCCTGTCGACACCTTAGAGAAAGATCTAGGTCCCTGACTCATTATGACGGAATGCCTCAAATCCATTTGATACCTCGAGAGACACGCAGAGTTCACTGCTTCAAAAGGTAACGATGCCTGGCTAATCTTGAACATTGTTAGGAATCGCAAAATCACTGTGACTACTGAAAAGGGACCATGGGTGCCCTGCCTCACCTCGAGAAGCATTACTTTTACAATGCCAAGCCTCAAAGAGACTCCTGAGGTGTCCCTCGTTACTAGACAGGAGTCCTGACATCACTATATAAAGACGTGTTTTGAAGGGCCATCCCCGCCGTAACTCGAGAACAAACCCCAGGTCGCCGCCGAAAATCGAGAGAAACCATGTGACTTCCCCCTAGAGGCGAGATGAGGCCCGATTCCCCTGCATTGCATGCAGAGCCATTCTGTGATCTCCATCAAACATGTAAGGAGCTTCGACTTGGTTAATGGATCTCAATACAGTCCCCAAGAACACTGTCACAAGTCTAGACGGGCCCTGAGGTCACGCCAGCAATGCAAAGCAGCTCCATGTGCCCCAAATCAACTCGAGATGAGGCCAGATTCCCCTTCATTGACTCCAGAGCCAACCCCCGTTACACATTAAATACGGCCAGTGGCTCGACTTCCTTCACACAATTCCAGATATTCCCCAAGGACACTGTCCCAGCTCTAGAAGAACACGAACTTCAGCAGAGCAACTCGAGGAATGGTCCGTGTACCCCAGATCGTCTCGAGATGAGAGCAGATTCCCTAGCTTAGACTCAACACTTATGCCATCTTTCCAAACACACCGAAAGAGTAGGCTTCCTCAGCAATAGGTATGTGGGAGGGACACTGAGTTTGCTGCCGCAAGTGGAATATACAGCGAGAAGCCCTAACTTGAAAGGAGGCCGGATTTCCTTGCAGTGGCGTGAATGCAGGCCTGTCTTTCATCTCACAACATGAAGAGATGTCTGAATCCCCTCTCGAGACCTTAGAGAAAGATCTAGGTCCCTGCCTCATTTTGACGGAATGCCTCTCATAAATTTGGCACCTCCAGAGGCAGGCGGAGTTCACTGCTTCAAAAGGTGACGATGCCTGACTCCTCTTGAACAATGTTAGGAATCCCAGAATCCCTGTGGCTCCTGGAAAGGGTCCTTGGGTGGCCTGCCTCTCCTCGAGAAGCGTCTCTTTTGCAATGCCAAGCCTCAAAGAGATTCCTGAGGTGTCCCCCGTTACTAGACAGATGTCCTGACGTCACTGAATAAACACATGTTTTAAAGGGGCATCCTCGCTGAAACTGGACAATATACACCAGGTCCCTGCCTCAACTCGAGAAAAACCAGGAGACTGCCCCCTAGATGCGAGATTAGGCCCGATTCCCCTGCATTGCATGCAGAACAATTCCGTGATCATCATCAAACATGTAAGGACCTTCGACTAGATTAATGGATTTTGAGATAGTCCCCAAGAACACTGTCACAAGTCTAGACGGGCCCTGAGGTCATGCCAGCAATGCAAAGCAGCTCCATGTGCCCCAAATCAACTCGAGATGAGGCCAGATTCCCCTTCATTGACTCCAGAGCCAACCCCCGTTACACATTAAATACGGCCAGTGGCTCGACTTCCTTCACACAATTCCAGATATTCCCCAAGGACACTGTCCCAACTCTAGAAGAACACAAACTTCAGCACAGCAACTCGAGGAATGTTCCATGTACCCCTAATCGTCTCGAGATGAGAGCTGATTCCCCGGCTTAGACTCAAAACTTATGCCAACTTTCCAGAGACACCGAGAGATGAGGATTCCTCAGCAATAGGTATGTGGGAGGGACCCCGAGTTTGCTGCCTCGAGTGGAATATACAGCGAGAAGCCCTAACTTGAAAGGAGGCCGGATTTCCTTGCAGTGGCTTGAATACAGGCTCGTCTTTCATCTCAAACATGAAGGGATGTCTGAATCCCCTGTCGAGACCTTAGCAGAGCTCTAGGTCCCTGCCTCATTTGATGGAATGCCTCACATCCATATGGCAGCTCGAGAGGCAGGCGGAGTTCAATGCTTCAAAATGTCACGATGCCTGACTCCTCTTGAACAATGTTAGGAATCTCAAATCCCTGTGGCTCCTGAAAAGGGTCCTTGGGTGCCCTGCCTCACCTCGAGAAGCGTCCCTTTTGCCTGCCAAGCCTCAAAATATTCCTGAGGTGTCCCTCATTACTAGACAGGAGTCCTGTTGTCACTGAATAAACACGTGTTTTGAAGGGCCATCCCCGCTGTAACTCGAGAACATACCCCAGGTCGCCGCCGAAAATCGAGAAAAACCAGGAGACATCCCCCTAGAGGCGAGATGAGGCCCGATTCCCCTGCATTGCATCAGAGCCATTCCATGATCTCCATGAAACCTGTAAGGAGCTTCGACTTAGTTAATGGATGTCAAGACAGTCCCCAAGAACACTGTCACAAGTCTAGACGGACCCTGAGGTCACCCCAGCAATGCAAAGCAGCTCCACGTGCCCCAAATCAACTCGAGATGAGGATTGATTCCCCTGCAATGACTACAGAGCCATTCCCCGTTCCCCATTAAACACGACCATTGGCTCGACTTCCTTCAGGGAACTCCAGAGATTCCCCGAGAACACTGTCCCAAGTCTAGAAGAACACCAACTTCAGCACAGCAACTAGAGGAATGGTCCGTGTACCCCAAATCGTCTTGAGATGAGAGCTGATTCCGTGGCTTAGACTCAACACTTATGCCAACATTCCAGAAACACCGAAAGAGGAGGCTTCTTCAGCAATAGGTATGTGGGAGGGACCCCGAGTTTGCTGCCTCAAGTGGAATATACAGCGAGAAGCCCTAACTTGAAAGGAGGCCGGATTTCCTTGCAGTGGCTTGAATACAGGCTCGTCTTTCATCTCACAACATGAAGGGATGTCTGAATCCCCTGTCGAGACCTTAAAGAAAGCTCTAGGTCCCTGCCTCATTGTGACGGAATGCCTCACATTCATTTGGCACCCCGAGAGGCAGGCAGAGTTCACTGCTTCAAAATGTCACGATGCCTGACTCCTCTTGAGCAATGTTACGAATCCCAAAATCCCTGTGGCTCCTGGAAAGTGTCCTTGGTTACCCTGCCTCACCTCGAGAAGCGTCCCTTTTGTAATGCCAAGCCTTGAAGAGATTCCTGAGGTGTCCCTCGTTACTAGACAGGAGTCCTGACGTCACTGAATAAACACGTGTTTTCAAGGGCCATCCCTGCCGTAACTCAAGAACATACACCAGGTCCCCGCCGCAAGTCGAGAAAAACCAGGAGACATCCCCCTAGATGTGAGATGAGGTCCTATTCCCCTGCATTGCGTGCAGAACAATTCCGTGACCATCATCAAACATGTAAGGAGCTTTCACTAGATGAATGGATCTCTAGACAGTCCCCAAGAACACTGTCACAAGTCTAGACGGACAATGACGTCATCCCAGCAAAGCAAAGCAGTTTCATGTGCAACAAATCAACTCGAGAGGAGGCCCGATTCCCCTGCATTGCTTCCAGAGCCATCCCCCTTTCCCCATTAAACAGGACTAGTGGTTTGACTTCCTTCAGGTAACTCCAGAGATTGCCTGAGAACACTGTCGCAAGTCTAGAAGAACACCAACTTCAGCACAGCAACTCGAGGAATGCTCCATGTACCCCTAATTGTCTCGAGATGAGAGCTGATTCCCTGGCTTAGGCCCAAGACGTATGCCAACTTTCCAGAAACACCGAAAGAGGAGGCTTCTGTCAACAATAGTTATGTGGGACGGACCCCGAGTTTGCTGCCTCAAATGGAATATACAGTGAGAAGCCCTAACTTGAAAGGAGGCCGGATTTCCTTGCAGTGGTGTGAATACAGGCTCGTCTTTCATGTCACAGCATGAAGGGATGTCTGAATCCCCTGTCGAGACGTTAGAGAAAGATCTAGGTCCCTGCCTCATTTTGACGGAATGCCTCACATCCCTTTGACACATCGAGAGGCACTCGGAGATCACTACTTCAAAGGGTGACGATGCATGACTCCTCTTGAACATTGTTAGGAATCCCCAAATCCCTGTGACTACTGGAAAGGGTCCTTGGGTGCCCTGCCTTACCTCGAGAAGCGTTCGTTTTACCCTGCCAAGCCTCAAAGAGATTCCTGACATGTCCCTCGTTACTGGACAGGAGACGTGACATCACTATATAAACACGTGTTTTGAAGGGCCATCCCCGCCGTAACTCGAGAACATACCCCAGGTCGCCACCAAAATCGAGAAAAACCATGTGACTTCCCCCTAGAGGTTGGATGAGCCCCGATTCCGCTGCAATGCATGCAGAGCGATTCTGTGATCTCCATCAAACATTAAAGAAGCTTCGACTTGGTTAATGGATCTCAAGACAGTCCCCAAGAACACTGTCACAAGTCTAGACGGACCCTGAGGTCACCCCAGCAACGCAAAGCAGCTCCATGTGCCCCAAATCAAATCGAGATGAGGCCAGATTCCCCTGCATTGACTCCAGAGCCTTCCCACATGCCCCATTAAATAAGACCAGTGGCTCGACTTCCTTCACACAATTCCAGAGATTTCCCAAGTACACTGTCCCAAGTCTAGAAGAACACCAACTTCAGCACAGCAACTCGAGGAATGGTCCGTGTACCCCAGATCGTCCCGAGATGAGAGCAGATTCCCTAGCTTAGACTCAACACTTATGCCATCTTTCCAGACACACCGAAAGAGTAGGCTTCCTCAGCAATAGGTATGTGGCAGGGACCCCGAGTTTGCTGCCTCAAGTGGAATATACAGCGAGAAGCCCTAAATTGAAAGGAGGCCGGATTTCCTTGCAGTGGCGTGAATGCAGGCCTGTCTTTCATCTCACAACATGAAGAGATGTCTGAATCCCCTCTCGAGACCTTAGAGAAAGCTCTAGGTCCCTGCCTCATTTTGACGGAATGCCTCTCATAAATTTGGCACCTCGAGAGGCAGGCGGAGTTCACTGCTTCAAAAGGTGACGATGCCTGACTCCTCTTGAACAATGTTAGGAATCCCAGAATCCCTGTGGCTCCTGGAAAGGGTCCTTGGGTGGCCTGCCTCTCCTCGAGAAGCGTCTCTTTTGCAATGCCAAGCCTCGAAGAGATTCCTGAGGTGTCCCCCGTTACTAGACAGATGTCCTGACGTCACTGAATAAACACATGTTTTAAAGGGGCATCCCCGCCGAAACTCGAGAATATACACCAGGTCCCCGCCTCAACTCGAGAAAAACCAGGAGACTGCCCCCTAGATGCGAGATGAGGCCCGATTCCCCTGCATTGCATGCAGAACAATTCCGTGATCATCATCAAACATGTAAGGACCTTCGACTCGATTAATGGATCTTGAGATAGTCCCCAAGAACACTGTCACAAGTCTAGACGGACCCTGAGGTCACCCCAGCAAAGCAAAGCAGCTGCATGTGCAGCAAATCAACTCGAGATGAGGCCCGATTCCCCTGCATTGATTCAAGAGCCTTCCCCCTTTCCCCATTAAACACGACCAGTGGTTTGACTTCCTTCAGGCAACTCCAGAGATTCCCTGAGAACACTGTCCCAAGTCTAGAAGAACACCAACTTCTGCACAGCAACTCGAGGAATGCTCCTTGTACCCCTAATCGTCTTGACATGAGAGCTGATTCCCTGGCTTAGGCTCAAGACGTATGTCAACTTTCCAGAAACACCGAAAGAGGAGGCTTCTCTCAGCGATAGGTATGTGGGAGGAACCCCGAGTTTGCTGCCTCAAATTGAATATACAGCGAGAAGCCCTAACTTGAAAGGAGGCCGGATTTCCTTGCAGTGGCGTGAATACAGGCTCGTCTATCATCTCACAACATGAAGGGATGTCTGAATCCCCTGTCGAGACGTTAGAGAAAGATCTAGGTCCCTGCCTCATTTTGACGGAATGCCTCACATCCCTTTGACACATCGAGAGGAACCCGGAGATCACTACTTCAAAGGGTGACGATGCAAGACTCCTCTTGAACATTGTTAGGAATCCCAGAATACATGTAACTATTGGAAAGGGACCTTGGGTGCCCTGACTCACCTCGAGAAGCGTCCCTTTTTGCCCTGCCAAGCCTCAAAGAGATTCCTGAGGTGTCCCTCGTTACTAGACAGGAGTCCTGACATCACTATATAAACACGTGTTTTGAAGGGCCATCCCCGCTGAAACTCGAGAACATTCCCCAGGTCGCCGCCGAAAATCGAGAAAAACCATGTGACTTCCCCCTAGAGGCGAGATGAGGCCCGATTCCCCTGCATTGCATGCAGAGCCATTCTGTGATCTCCATCAAACATGTAAGGAGCTTCGACTTGGTTTTTGGATCTCAAGACAGTCCCCAAGAACACTGTCACAAGTCTAGACGGGCCCTGAGGTTACGCCAGCAATGCAAAGCAGCTCCATGTGCCCCAAATCAACTCGAGATGAGGTCAGATTCCCCTTCATTGACTCCAGAGCCAACCCCCGTTACACATTAAATACGGCCAGTGGCTCGACTTCCTTCACACAATTCCAGATATTCCCCAAGGACACTGTCCCAGCTCTAGAAGAACACGAACTTCAGCACAGCAACTCGAGGAATGTTCCGTGTACCCCTAATCGTCTCGAGATGAGAGCTGATTCCCCGGCTTAGACTCAAAACTTATGCCAACTTTCCAGAGACAGCGAGAGAGGAGGCTTCCTCAGCAATAGGTATGTGGGAGGGACCCCGAGTTTACTGCCTCAAGTGGAATATACAGCGAGAAGCCCTAACTTGAAAGGAGGCCGGATTTCCTTGCAGTGGCTTGAATACAGGCTCGTCTTTCATCTCAAACATGAAAGGATGTCTGAATCCCCTGTCGAGACCTTAGCAGAGCTCTAGGTCCCTGCCTCATTTGACGGAATGCCTCACATCCATATGGCAGCTCGAGAGGCAGGCGGAGTTCACTGCTTCAAAATGTCACGATGTCTGACTCCTCTTGAACAATGTTAGGAATCTCAAATCCCTGTGGCTCCTGAAAAGGGTCCTTGGGTGCCCTGCCTCACCTAGAGAAGCGTCCCTTTTGCCCTGCCAAGCCTCAAAATATTCCTGAGGTGTCCGTCATTACTAGACAGGAGTCCTGTTGTCACTGATTAAACACGTGTTTTGAAGGGCCATCCCCGCTGTAAGTCGAGAACATACCCCAGGTCGCCGCCGAAAATCGAGAAAAACCTTGTGACTTCCCCCTAGAGGCGAGATGAGGCCCGATTCCCCTGCATTGCATCAGAGCCATTCCATGATCTCCATGAAACCTGTAAGGAGCTTCGACTTAGTTAATGGATCTCAAGACAGTCCCCAAGAACACTGTCACAATTCTAGACGGACCCTGAGGTCACCCCAGCAATGCAAAGCAGCTCCACGTGCCCCAAATCAACTCGAGATGAGGATTGATTCCCCTGCAATGACTCCAGAGCCATTCCCCTTTCCCCATTAAACACGACCATTGGCTCGACTTCCTTCAGGCAACTCCAGAGATTCCCCGAGAACCCTGTCTCAAGTCTAGAAGAACACCAACTTCAGCACAGCAACTCGAGGAATGCTCCATGTACCAGAAATCATCTCGAGATGAGAGCTGATTCCCTGGCTTAGGCTCAACAGGTATGCCAACTTTCCAGAAACACCGAAAGAGGAGGCTTCCTCAGCAATAGGTATGTGGGAAGGACCCCGAGTTTGCTGCCTCAAATGGAATATACAGTGAGAAGCCCTAAATTGAACGGAGGCCGGATTTCCTTGCAGTGGCGTGAATACAGGCTCGTCTTTCATGTCAAAACATGAAGGGATGTCTGAATCCCCTGTCGAGACCTTAGAGAAAGATCTAGGTCCCTGCCTCATTTTGACGGAATGCTTCACATCCCTTTGACACATCGAGAGGCACTAGGAGATCATTACTTCAAAGGGTTACAATGCCTGACTCCTCTTGAACATTGTTAGGAATCTCCAAATCCCTGTGACTACTGGAAAGGGACCTTGGGTGCCCTGCCTCACCTCGAGAAGCGTTCCTTTTACACTGCCAAGCCTCAAAGAGATTCCTGAGGTGTCCCTCGTTACTAGACAGGAGTCCGGACATCACTAGATAAACACGTGTTTTGAAGGGCCATCCCCGCCGTAACTCGAGAACGTTCCCCAGGTCGCCGGCGAAAATCGAGAAAAACCATGTGACTTCCCCCTAGAGGCGATATGAGGCCCGATTCCCTTGCATTGCATACAGAGCCATTCCGAGATCTCCATCAAACCTGTAAGGAGCTTCGACTTGGTTAATGGATCTCAAGACAGTCCCCAAGAACACTGTCACAAGTCTAGACGGACCCTGAGGTCACACAAGCAACGCAAAGCAGCTCCATGTGCCCCAAATCAACTCGAGATGAGGCCAGATTCCCCTGCATTGACTCCAGAGCCATCCCCCGTTCCACATTAAACACGACCAACTTCACGACTTCCTTCACGCAATTCCAGAGTTTCCCTAAGGACACTGTCCGAAGTCTAGAAGAACACCAACTTCAGCAGAGCAACTCGAGGAATGCTGCATGTACCCCATATCGTATGGAGATGAGAGCTGATTCCCTGGCTTAGGCCCAGGACGTATGCCAACTTTCCAGAAGCACCTCAGGAGGAGGCTTCTCTCAACAATAGGTATGTGGGAGGGACCCCGAGTTTTCTGCCTCAAATGGAATATACAGCGAGAAGCCCTAACTTGAAAGGAGGCCGGATTTCCTTGCAGTGGCGTGAATACAGGCTCATCTTTCATGTCACAACATGAAGGGATGTCTGAATCCCCTGTCGAGACGTTAGAGAAAGATCTAGGTCCCTGCCTCATTTTGACGGAATGCCTCACATCCCTTTGACTCATCAGGAGGCACGCGGAGATCACTGCTTCAAAGGGTGACGAGGCATGACTCCTCTTGAACAATGTTAGGAATCCCAATATCTCTGTGGCTAATGGAAAGGGTCCTTGGTGCCCTGCCTCACCTCGAGAAGCGTCCTTTTTGCCCTGTCAAGCCTCAAAGAGATTCATGAGGTGTCCCTCGTTACTAGACAGGAGTCCTGATGTCACTGATTAAACATGTGTTTTGAAGTGCCATCCCCGCCGTTACTCGAGAACATACCCCAGGTCCACAACGCAACTCGAGAAAAACCATGTGGCATCCCCCTAGATGCGAGATGAGGCCCGATTCCCCTGCATTCCATGCAGAGCAATTCTGAGATCCCCATCAAACATGTAAGGAGCTTCGAATTGCTTAATGGATCTCGAGACAGTCTGCAAGGACACTGTCACAAGTCTAGACGGACCCTGAGGTCATACCAGCAACGCAAAGCAGCTCCATGTGCCCAAATCACTCGAGATGAGGCTAGATTCCCCTGCATTGACTGCAGAGCCATATGCCGTTCCCCATTAAACACGAGCTGAGTCTTGACTTCCTTCAGGCAACTCCAGAGATTCCCCGAGGACACTGTCCCAAGTCTGGAAGAACACCAACATCAGCCCAGCAACTCGGGAAATGCTCCGTGTACAACAAATCGCCTCGAGATGAGACCTGATTACCAGTCCTAGGCTCCAGACGTATGCGAACTTTCCAGAAGCACCTAAAGAAGAGGCTACTCTGAGCAATAGTTATGAGGGAGGGCCCCCGAGTTTGCTAACTCAAGCGGAATATACAGCGAGAAGCCCTAACTTGAAAGGAGGCTGGATTTCCTTGCAGTGGCTTGAATACAGGCTCGTCTTTCATCTCACAACATGAAGGGATGTCTGAATCCCCAGTCGAAACCTTAGAGAAAGCTCTAGGTCCCTGCCTCATCTTGACGGAATGCCTAACATCCATTTGACACCTTGAGAGGCACGCGGAGTTCACTGCTTCAAAAGGTGACGATGCCTGACTCTTCTTGAACATTGATAGGAATCCCAAAATCCCTGTGGCTACTGGAAAGGGCCCTTGGGTGCCCTGCCTCATGTCGGAAGCGTCCCTTTTGCAATGCCAAGCCTTGAAGAGATTCCTGAGGTGTCCCTCGTTACTAGACAGGAGTCCTGACGTCACTGAATAAACACGTGTTTTGAAGGGCCATCCCCTCCGTAACTTGAGAACATACTCCAGGTCCCCGCCGCAAGTCGAGAAAAACCAGGAGACTTCCCCCTAGATGCGAGATGAGGCTCGATTCCCCTGCAGTGCATGCAGAACAATTCCGTGATCATCATCAAACATGTAAGGAGCTGCGACTAGATTAATGGATCTCGAGACAGTCCCCAAGAACATTGTCACAAGTCTAGACGGACGCTGAGGTCACCCCAGTAAAGCATAGCAGCTTCATGTGCAGCAAATCAACTCGAGATGAGGCCCGATTCCCCTGCATTGAATCCAGAGCCATCCCCCTTTCCCCATTAATCACGACCAGTGGTTTGACTTCCTTCAGGCAACACCAGAGATTCCCTGAGGACACTGTCACAAGTCTAGAAGAACACCAACTTCAGCAAAGGAACTCGAGGAATGCTCCGTGTACCCCTAATCGTCTCGAGATGAGAGCTGATTCCCTGGCATAGGCTCAAGACGCATGCCCACTTGTCAGAAACACCGAAAGAGAAGGCTTCTCTCAGCGATAAGTATGTGGGAGGGACCCCGAGTTTGCTGCCTCAAGCGGAATATACAGCGAGAAGCCCTAACTTGATAGGAGGACGGATTTCCTTGCAGTGGCTTGAATATAGGCTAGTCTTTCATCTCACAACATGAAGGGATGTCTGAATCCCCTGTCGACACCTTAGAGAAAGATCTAGGTCCCTGACTCATTTTGACGGAATGCCTCAAATCCATTTGATACCTCGAGAGACACGCAGAGTTCACTGCTTCAAAAGGTAACGATGCCTGACTAATCTTGAACATTGTTAGGAATCCCAAAATCCCTGTGACTACTGAAAAGGGACCTTGGCTACCCTGCCTCACCTCGAGAAGCATTCCTTTTACACTGCCAAGCCTCAAAGAGATTCCTGAGGTGTCCCTCGTTACTTGAGAGGAGTCCTGACATCACTATATAAAGACGTGTTTTGAAGGGCCATCCCCGCCGTAACTCGAGAACATACCCCAGGTCGCCGCCGAAAATCGAGAAAAACCATGTGACTTCCCCCTAGAGGCGAGATGAGGCCCGATTCCCCTGCATTGCGTGCAGAGCCATTCTGTGATCTCCATCAAACATGTAAGGAGCTTCGACTTGGTTAATGGATCTCAAGACAGTCCCCAAGAACACTGTCACCAGTCTAGACCGACACTGAGGTCACGCCAGCAACGCAAAGCAGGTCCATGTGCCCCAAATCAACTTGAGATGAGGCCAGATTCCCCTGCATTGACTCCAGAGCCATCCCCCGTTCCACATTAAACACGACCAGTGGCACGACTTCCTTCACGCAATTCCAGAGTTTCCCTAAGGACACTCTCCGAGGTCTAGAAGAACACCAACTTCAGCAGAGCAACTCAAGGAATGCTGCATGTACCCCACATGGTATGGAGATGAGAGCTGATTCCCTGGCTTAGGCTCAAGAAGTATGCCAACTTTCCAGAAGCACCTCAGGAGGAGGCTTCTCTCAACAATAGGTATGTGGCAGGGACCCCGAGTTTTCTGCCTCAAATGGAATATATAGCGAGAAGCCCTAACTTGAAAGGAGGCTGGATTTCCTTGCAGTGGCGTGAATACAGGCTCATCTTTCATCTCACAACATGAAGGGATGTCTGAATCCCCTGTCGAGACGTTAGAGAAAGATCTAGGTCCCTGCCTCATTTTGACGGAATGCCTCACATCCCTTTGACACATCAAGAGACACGCGAACATCAGTGCTTCAAAGGGTGACGAGGCATGACTCCTCTTGAACAATGTTAGGAATCCCAAAATCCCTGTGGCTACTCGACAGGGTCCTTGTGTACCCTGCATCACCTCGAGAAGCATCCCTTTTGCCCTGCCAAGCCTCAAAGAGATTCCTAGGGTGTCACTTGTTGCTAGACCGCAGTCCTGATGTCACTGATTAAACACGTTTTTTGAAGTGCCATCCCCGCCGTAACTCGAGAACATACGCCAGGTCCCCGCCGCAACTCGAGAAAACACATGTGACATCCCCCTAGATGCGAGATGAGGCCCGATTCCCCGGCATTCCATGCAGAGCAATTCCGTGATCCCCATCAAACATGTAAGCAGCTTCGAATTGCTTAATGGATCTCGAGACAGTCTGCAAGAACACTGTCACAAGTCTAGACGGACCCTGACGCCATACCAGCAACCCAAACCGCACCATGTGCCCCAAATCAACGCGAGATGAGGCCAGATTCCCCTGCATTGACTGCAGAGCCATATGCCGTTCCCCATTAAACACGAGCTGAGGCTTGACTTCCTTCAGGCAACTCCAGAGATTCCCCGAGGACACTGTCCCAAGTCTAGAAGAACACAAACATCAGCCCAGCAACTCAGGAAATGCTCCGTGTACCACAAATCGTCTCGAGATGAGACCTGATTAGCTGGCTGAGGCTCAAGACGTATGCCAACTTTCCTGAAGCACCTCAAGAGGAGGCTTCTCTCAGCAATAGGTATGTGGGAGAGAACCCGAGTTTGCTACCTCAAGTGGAATAAACAGCGAGAAGCCCTAACTTGAAAGCAGGCTGGATTTCTTTGCAGTGGCTTGAATACAGGTTCGTCTTTCATCTCACAACATGAAGGGATGTCTGAATCCCCTGTCGAGAACTTAAAGAAAGTTCTAGGTCCCTGCCTCATTTTGACGGAATGCCTAACATCCATTTGACACATCGCGAGGCACGCGGAGTTCACTGCTTCAAATATGACGATGCTTGACTCTTCTTGAACATTGATAGGAATCCCAAAATCCCTGTGGCTACTGGACAGGGTCCTTGGGTGCCATGCCTCACCTCGAGAAGCGTCCCTTTTACCTTGCCAAGCCGCAAAAAGATTCCTGAGGTGTCCGTCGTTACTAGACCGGAGTCCTGGCCTCAGTGAATCACCCCGTGTTTTGAAGGGCCATCCCTGCCTTAACTCGAGAACATACCCCAGGTCCCCACCGCAACTCGAGAAAAACCGTGAGACTTCCCCCTAGATGCGAGATGAGGCCCGATTCACCTGCAGTGCATGCAGAGCAATTCCATGAACCCCATCAAACAAGTCAGGAGCTTCGACTTGCATAATGGATCTTGGGACAGTCCCCAAGAATGCTGTCACAAGTCTAGACGGACCCTGACGTCACCCCAGCAATGCAAAGCAGCTCCACGTCCCCAAGTCAACTCGAGATGAGGATCGATTCATCTGCATTGACTCCAGAGCCATTCCCCATTTCCCATTAAACACGACCATTGGCTCGACTTCCTTCAGGCAACTCCAGAGATTCCCCGAGAACACTGTCCCAAGTCTAGAAGAACACCAACTTCAGTGCAGCAACTCGAGGAATGCTCCGTGTACCCCAAATCGTCTCGAGATGAGAGCTGATTCCCTGGCTTAGGCTCAACACTTATGCCAACGTTCCAGAACCACCGAAAGAGGAGGCTTCTCTCAGCAATAGGTATGAGGGAGGGACCCCGAGTTTGCTGCCTCAAGTGGAATATACAGCGAGAAGCCCTAACTTGAAAGGAGGCCGGATTTTCTTGCAGTGGCTTGAATACAGGCTCATCTTTCATCTCACAACATGAAGGGATGTCTGAATTCCCTTTCGAGACCTTAGAGAAAGTTCTAGGTCCCTGCCTCATTTTGACGGAATGCCTCACATCCATTTGGCTCCTCGAGAGGCAGGCGGAGTTCACTGCTTCAAAATGTCATGATGCCTGACTCCTCTTGAACAATGTTAGGAATCCCAAATCCCTGTGGCTCCTGGAAAGGGCCCTTGGGTGCCCTGCCTCACCTCGAGAAGCGTCCCTTTTTGCCCTGCCAAGCCTAAAGGAGATTCCTGAGGTGTCCCTCGTTAGTAGACAGGAGTCCTGATGTCACTGATTAAACACGTGTTTTGAAGGGCCATCCCCGCTGTAACTCGAGAACATACCCCAGGTCGCCGCTGATGATCGAGAAAAACCATGTGACTTCCCCCTAGAGGCGAGATGAGGCCCGATTCCCCTGAATTGCATGCAGAGCCTTTCCGAGATCTCCATCAAACCTGTAAGGAGCTTCGACTTGGTTAATGGATCTCAAGACAGTCCCCAAGAACACTGTCACAAGTCTAGACGGACACTGAGGTCACACCAGCAACGCAAAGCAGCTCCATGTGCCCCAAATCAACTCGAGATGAGGCCAGATTCTCCTGCATTGACTCCAGAGCCATCCCCCGTTCCACATTAAACATGACCAGTGGCACGACTTCCTTCACGCAATTCCAGGGTTTCCCTAAGGACACTGTCCGAAGTCTAGAAGAACACCAACTTCAGCAGAGCAACTCGAGGAATGCTGCATGTACCCCACATCGTATGGAAATGAGAGGTGATTCCCTGGCTTAGGCCCAAGACTTATGCGAACTTTCCAGAAGCACCTCAGGAGGAGGCTTCTCTCAACAATAGGTATGTGGGAGGGACCCCGAGTTTTCTGCCTCAAATGGAATATACAGCAAGAACCCCTAACTTGAAAAGAGCCGGATTTCCTTGCAGTGGTGTGAATACAGGCTCGTCTTTCATGTCACAACATGAAGGGATGTCTGAATCCCCTGTCGAGACGTTAGAGAAAGATGTAGGTCCCTGCCTCATTTTGACGGAATGCCTCACATCCCTTTGACACATCGAGAGGCACTCGGAGATCACTGCTTCAAAGGGTGACGAGGTATGACTCCTCTTGAACAATGTTAGGAATCCCAAAATCCCTGTGGCTACTGGACAGGGTCCTTGTGTACCCTGCATCACCTCGAGAAGCGTCCCTTTTGCCCTGCCAAGCCTCAAAGAGATTCCTGAGGTGTCACTTGTTACTAGACAGGAGTCCTGATGTCACTGATTAAACACGTTTTTTGAAGTGCCATCTCCGCCGTAACTCGAGAACATACCCCAGGTCCCCACCGCAACTCTAGAAAACACATGTGACATCCCCCTAGATGCGAGATGAGGCCCGATTCACCTGCATTCCATGCAGAGCAATTCCGTGATCCCCATCAAACATGTAAGCAGCTTCGAATTGCTTAATGGATCTCGAAACATTCTGCAAGAACACTGTCACAAGTCTAGACGGACCCTGACGCCATACCAGCAACGTAAAGCAGCTCCATGTGCCCCAAATTAACTCGAGATGAGGCCAGATTCCCCTGCATTGACTGCAGAGCCATATGGCATTCCCCATTAAACACAGGCTAAGGCTTGACTTCCTTCAGGCAACTCCAGAGATTCCCCGAGAACACTGTCCCAATTCTAGAAGAACATCAACTTCCGCACAGCAACTCGAGGAATACTCCTTTTACCGCTAATCGTCTCGAGATGAGAGCTGATTCCCTGGCTTAGGCTCAAGACGTATGCCAGCTTTCCAGAAACACCGAAAGAGGAGGCTTCTCTCAGCGATAGGTATGTGGGAGGGACCCCGAGTTTGCTGCCTCAAGTGGAATATACAGCGAGAAGCCCTAACTTGATAGGAGGACGGATTTCCTTGCAGTGGCTTGAATACAGGCTCGTCTTTCATCTCACAACATGAAGGGATGTCTGAATGCCCTGTCGACACCTTAGAGAAAGATCTAGGTCCCTGCCTCATTTTGACGGAATGCCTCAAATCCATTTGATACCTCGAGAGGCACGCAGCGTCCACTGCTTGAAAAGGTCACGATGCCTGACTCCTCTTGAACATTGTTAGGAATCCCAAATCCCTGTGACTACTGGAAAGGGTCCTTGGGTGCCCTGCCTAAACTCCAGAAGCTTTCCTTTTGCCCTGCCAAGCCTCAAAGAGATTCCTGAAGTGTCCCTCGTTACTAGGCAGGAGTCCTGACATCACTAGCTAAACACGTGTTTTGAAGGGCCATCCCCGCCGTAACTCGAGAACAAACCCAGGTCGCCGCCGAAAATCGAGAAAACCATGTGACTTCCCCCTAGAGGCGAGATGAGGCCCGATTCCCCTGCACTGCATGCAGAGCCATTCCGTGATCTCCATCCAACATGTAAGGAGTTTCGATTTGGTTAATGGATCTCAAGACAGTCCCCAAGAACACTGTCACAAGTCTAGACGGACCCTGAGGTCACCCCAGCAACGCAAAGCAGCTCCATGTGCCCCAAATCAACTCGAGCTTAGGCCAGATTCCCCTGCATTGACTCCAGAGCCATCCCCCATTCCCCATTAAACACGACCAGTGGCTCGACTTCCTTCACGCAATTCCAGAGATTCCCCATGGACATTTTCCCAAGTCTAGAAGAACACCAACTGCAGCACAGCAACTCGAGGAATGCTCCTTGTACCCCACATCGTGTGGAGATGAGAGTTGATTCCCTTGTTAGGCCCAAGACGAATGCCAACTTTCCAGAAACACCGAAAGAGGAGGCTTCTCTCAACAATAGGTATGTGGGAGGGACCCCGAGTTTGCTGCCTCAATGGAATATACAGCGAGAAGCCCTAACTTGAAAGGAGGCCGGATTTCCTTGCAGTGGCGTGAATACAGGCTCGTCTTTCATGTCACAACCTGAAGGGATGTCTGAGTTCCCTGTCGACACGTTAGAGAAAGATGTAGCTCCCTGCCTCATTTTGACGGAATGCCTCACATCCCTTTGACACATCGAGAGGCACTCGGAGATCACTACTTCAAAGGGTGAAGACGTAAGACTCCTCTTGAACATTGTTAGGAATCCCAACATCTCTGACTACTGGAAAGGGACCTTGGGTGCCCTGCCTCACCTCGAGAAGCGTTCCTTTTACATTGCCAAGACTCAAAGAGATTCCTGAGGTGTCCCTCGTTACTAGACAGGAGTCCGGACATCACTAGATAAACACGTGTTTTGAAGGGCCATCCCCGCCGTAACTCGAGATCATTCCCCAGGTCACCGCCGAAAATCGAGAAAAAACATGTGACTTCCCCCTAGAGGTGAGATGAGGCCCGATTCCACTTCATTGCATGCAGAGCCATTCTGTGATCTCCATCAAACATGTAAGGAGGTTCGACTAGGTTAATGGATCTCGAGACAGTCCCCAAGAACACTGTCACAAGTCTAGACCGAAACTGAGGTCACGCCAGCAACGCAAAGCAGCTCCATGTGCCCCAAATCAACTCGAGATGAGGCCCGATTCCCCTGCATTGCTTCCAGAGCCATCCCCCTTTCCCCATTAAACAGGACTAGTGGTTTGACTTCCTTCAGGCAACTCCAGAGATTGCCTGAGAACACTGTCGCAAGTCTAGAAGAACACCAACTTCAGCAGAGCAACTCGAGGAATGCTGCATGTACCCCACATCGTATGGAGATGAGAGCTGATTCCCTGGCTTAGGCCCAAGAAGTATGCCTACTTTCCAGAAGCACCTCAGGAGGAGGCTTCTCTCAACAATTGGTATGTTGGAGGGACCCCGAGTTTTCTGCCTCAAATGGAATATACAGCGAGAAGCCCTAACTTGAAAGGAGGCCGGATTTCCTTGCAGTGGCGTGAATACAGGCTCGTCTTTCATGTCACAACATGAAAGGATGTCTGAATCCCCTGTCGAGACGTTAGAGAAAGATCTAGGTCCCTGCCTCATTTTGACGGAATGCCTCACATCCCTTTGACAAATCGAGAGGCACTCGGAGATCACTGCTTCAAAGGGTGACGAGGCATGACTCCTCTTGAACAATGTTAGGAATCCCAAAATCCCTGTGGCTACTCGACAGGGTTCTTGTGTACCCTGCATCACCTCGAGAAGCGTCCCTTTTGCCCTGCCAAGCCTCAAAGAGATTCCTGAGGTGTCACTTGTTACTAGAGAGGAGTCCTGATGTCCCTGTTTAAACACGTTTTTTGAAGTGCCATCCCCGCCGTAACTCGAGAACATACCCCAGGTCCCAACCGCAACTCGAGAAAACACATGTGACATCCCCCCAGATGCGAGATGAGGCCCGATTCCCCTGCATTCCATGCAGAGCAATTCCGTGATCCCCATCAAACATATAAGCAGCCTCGAATTGCTTAATGGATCTCGAGACAGTCTTCAAGAACACTGTGACAAGTCTAGACGGACCCTGGCGCCATACCAGCAACGCAAAGCAGCTCCATGTACACCAAATCAACTCGAGATGAGGCCAGATTCCCCTGCATTGACTGCAGAGCCATATGCCGTTCCCCATTAAACACGAGCTGAGGTTGACTTCCTTCAGGCAACTCCAGAGTTTCACCGAGGACACTGACCCAAGTCTAGAAGAACACCAACATCAGCCCAGCAACTGAGGAAATGCTCCGTGTACCACAAATCGTCTCGAGATGAGACCTTATTACCTGGCTGAGGCCCAAGACGTATGCCAACTTTCCAGAAGCACCTCAAGAGGAGGCTTCTCTCAGCAATAGGTATGTGGGAGGGACCCCGAGTTTGCTACCTCAAGTGGAATAAACAGCGAGAAGCCCTAACTTGAAAGGAGGCTGGATTTCCTTGCAGTGGCTTGAATACAGGTTCCTCTTTCATCTCACAACATGAAGGGATGTCTGAATCCCCTGTCGAGAACTTAGAGAAAGTTCTAGGTCCCTGCCTCATTTTGACGGAATGCCTAACATCCATTTGACACCTCGCGAGGCACGCGGAGTTCACTGCTTCAAAAGGTGACGATGCCTGACTCTTCTTGAACATTGATAGGAATCCCAAAATCCCGGTGGCTACTGGAAAGGGTCCTTGGGTGCCAGGCCTCACCTCGAGAAGCGTCCCTTTTACCCTGCCAAGCCGCAAAAAGATTCCTGAGGTGTCCCTCGTTACTAGACCAGAGTCCTGGCTTCACTGAATCACCCCGTGTTTTGAAGGGCCATCCCTGCCTTAACTCGAGAAGATATCCCAGGTCCCCACCGCAACTCGAGAAAAACCCTGAGACTTCCCCCTAGATGCGAGATGAGGCCCGATTCACCTGCAGTGCATGCAGAGCAATTCCATGATCCCCATCAAACAAGTCAGGAGCTTCGACTTGCTTAATGGATCTCGAGACAGTCCCCAAGAATGCTGTCACAAGTCTAGACGGACCCTGAGGTCACCCCAGCAATGCAAAGCAGCTCCACGTGCCCCAAGTCAACTCGAGATGAGGATTGATTCATCTGCATTGACTCCAGAGCCATTCCCCTTTTCCCATTAAACACGACCATTGGCTCGACTTCCTTCAGGCAACTCCAGAGATTCCCTGAGAACACTGTCCCAAATCTAGAAGAACACCAACTTCAGTACAGCAACTCGAGGAATGCTCCGTGTACCCCAAATCGTCTCGAGATGAGAGCTGATTCCCTGGCTTAGACTCAACACTTATGCCAACTTTCGAGAAACACCGAAAGAGGAGGCTTCCTCAGCAATAGGTAAGTGGGAGGTTCCCGAGTTTGGTGCCTCAAGTGGAATATACAGCGAGAAGCCCGAACTTGAATGGAGGCCGGATTTCCTTGCAGTGGCTTGAATAGTGGCTCGTCTTTCATCTCACAACATGAAAGGATGTCTGAATCCCCTGTCGAGACCTGAGAGAATGCTCTAGGTCCCTGACTCATTTTGACAGAATGCCTCCCATCCATTTGGCACCTCGAGAGGCAGGCGGAGTTCACTGCTTCAAAAGGTCACGATGCCTGACTCCTCTTGAACAATGTTAGGAATCCCAAAATCCCTGTGGCTCCTGGAACGGGTCCTTCGGTGCCCTGCCTCACCTCGAGAAGCGTCCCTTTTGCAATGCCAAGCCTCGAAGAGATTCCGGAGGTGTCCCTCGTTACTAGACAGGAGTCCTGACGTCACTGAATCAACACATGTTTTGAAGGGCCATCCCCGCTGTAATTCGAGAACATACACCAGGTCCCCGCCTCAACTCGAGAGAAACCAGGAGACTTCCCCCTAGATGCGAGATGAGGCCCGATTCCCCTGAATTGCATGCAGAGCAATTCCGTGATCATCATCAAACATGTAAGGACCTTCGACTAGATTAATGGATCTCGAGACAGTCACCAAGAACACTGTCACAAGTCTAGACGGATCCTGAGGTCACCCCAGCAAAGCAAAGCAGCTTCATGTGCAGCAAATCAACTCGAGATGAGGCCCGATTCCCCTGCATTGATTCCAGAGCCATCCCCCTTTCCCCATTAAACACGACCAGTGGTTTGATTTCCTTCAGGCAACTCCAGAGATTCCCTGAGAACACTGTCCCAAATCTAGAAGAACACCGACTTCAGTACAGCAACTCGAGGAATGCTCCGTGTACCCCAAATCGTCTCGAGATGAGAGCTGATTCCCTGGCTTAGACTCAACACTTATGCCAACTTTCGAGAAACACCGAAAGAGGAGGCTTCCTCAGCAATAGGTATGTGGGAGGTTCCCGAGTTTGGTTCCTCAAGTGGAATATACAGCGAGAAGACCGAACTTTAAAGGAGGCCGGATTTCCTTGCAGTGGCTTGAATAGTGGCTCGTCTTTCATCTCACAACATGAAAGGATGTCTGAATCCCCTGTCGAGACCTGAGAGAATGCTCTAGGTCCCTGACTCATTTTGACAGAATGCCTCCCATCCATTTGGCACCTCGAGAGGCAGGCGGAGTTCACTGCTTCAAAAGGTCACGATGCCTGTCTCCTCTTGAACAATGTTAGGAATCCCAAAATCCCTGTGGCTCCTGGAACGGGTCCTTCGGTGCCCTGCCTCACCTCGAGAAGCGTCCCTTTTGCAATGCCAAGCCTCGAAGAGATTCCGGAGGTGTCCCTCGTTACTAGACAGGAGTCCTGACGTCACTGAATAAACACATGTTTTGAAGGGCCATCCCCGCTGTAATTCGAGAACATACACCAGGTCCCCGCCTCAACTCGAGAGAAACCAGGAGACTTCCCCCTAGATGCGAGATGAGGCCCGATTCCCCTGAATTGCATGCAGAGCAATTCCGTGATCATCATCAAACATGTAAGGACCTTCGACTAGATTAATGGATCTCGAGACAGTCACCAAGAACACTGTCACAAGTCTAGACGGATCCTGAGGTCACCCCAGCAAAGCAAAGCAGTTTCATGTGCAGCAAATCAAATCGAGATGAAGCCCGATTGCCCTGCATTGATTCCAGAGCCATCCCGCTTTCCCCATTAAACACGACCAGTGGTTTGATTTCCTTCAGGCAACTCCAGAGATTCCCTGAAAACACTATCCCAAGTCTAGAAGAACACCAACTTCTGCAGAGCAACTCGAGGAATGCTCCGTGTACCCCAAATCGTCTCGAGATGAGAGCTGATTCCCTGGCTTAGGCTCAACACTTATGCCAACTTTCCAGAACCACCGAAAGAGGAGGCTTCCTCAGCAGTAAGTATGAGGGAGGGACCCCGAGTTTGCTGCCTCAAGTGGAATATACAGCGAGAAGCCCTAACTTGAAAGGAGGCCGGATTTCCTTGCAGTGGCTTGAATACAGGCTCGTCTTTCATCTCACAACATGAAGGGATGTCTGAATCCCCTTTCGAGACCTTCGAGAAAGTTTTAGGTCCCTGCCTCATTTTGCCAGAATACCTCACATCCATTTGGCACCTCGAGATCCAGGCGGAGTTCACTGCCTCAAAAGGTCACGATGCCTGACTCCTCTTGAAAAATGTTAGGAATCCCAAATCCCTGTGGCTCCTGGAAAGGGCCCTTGGGTGCCCTGCCTCACCTCGAGAAGCGTCCCTTCTTGCCCTGCCAAGCCTCAAAGAGATTCCTGAGGTGTCCCTCGTTAGTAGACAGGAGTCCTGATATCACTGATTAAACACGTGTTTTGAAGGGCCATCCCCGCCGTAACTCGAGAAAATACCCCAGGTCGCCGCTGAAAATCGAGAAAAACCATGTGACTTCCCCCTAGAGGCGAGATGAGGCCCGATTCATCTGCATTGCATGCAGAGCCATTCCGAGATCTCCATCAAACATGTAAGGAGCTTCGACTTGGTTAATGGATCTCAAGACAGTCCCCAAGAACACTGTCACAAGTCTAGACGGACCCTGAGGTCACACCAGCAACGCAAAGCAGCTCCATGTGCCCCAAATCAACTCGAGATGAGGCCAGATTCCCCTGCATTGACTCCAGAGCCATCCCCCGTTCCACATTAAACACGACCAGAGGCACGACTTCCTTCACGCAATTCCAGAGTTTCCCTAAGGACACTGTCCGAAGTCTAGAAGAACACCAACTTCAGCAGAGCAACTCGAGGAATGCTACATGTATCCCACATCGTATGGAGATGAGAGCTGATTCCCTGGCTTAGGCCCAAGACGTATGCCAACTTTCCAGAAGCACCTCAGGAGGAGGCTTCTCTCAACAATAGGTATGTGGGAGGGACCCCGAGTTTTCTGCCTCAAATGGAATATACAGCGAGAACCCCAACTTGAAAGGAGGCCAGATTTCCTTGCAGTGGCGTGAA